GAGAGACCGGGCTGTGAACTGCACCGAAAGATCTTCAAGATGGCTATTTCAGTTAAAACCCCATACAAATATGGATTTCTTCCCTTGAACAAACAGCTTAGGTTATGCATCAGTTTGGACCTGTTCAGTCACTCAATGGCAACAGGGTGATTCAATGTCTTTGAACGTCCCATGGTGTCAAACTGGATGGAACAGTGCTATGCGTGTATTTACACGTGTTTTGTAATTTGACCTGATGTTTCGATGCATAATCTCAACTAATGGTTAACCATTGATTATGTCTCGAATAGCATGCAACGTATTTCGCGACATTCGAATCTTTTCCGTCCATCTCCTAATGCAACGAAGAACGCGTGAATGTTCTCAGGTTTTCTATATTATGTCCTCAGTTTTTTCCCGCTTTGGAAATTTGACAATACAGCTTTAATTGATGTTCTTGCCAGAACCCATGGTCATGCATCCTGCACGTTGCCATTACGCTACATCGACATACACAAGAAATAAGTGAAAGCTGAGCTAAACCTCGAGTTCTTGAAAGCATGTTAGTCTTACGCTATTTTCCCAAAATTTCTACGCTTTAAGTTATACAAGAAAACATTGTATTCGTCGAAACCTTACGGAATATTTTCCCCTAAGCTCTTAGACTGTGACTTGAACAAAAAGACTAAAAGGACCACATGCCTTACAGAGCAGTGCATTGAAGTGCCTAACCACCCTGGGAACCGTTTGTCGTTTTTTGCGCGTCATATGTTCATGTTTCATATCTTAGATGTCTTGAGCATTTTTACTCACAAGTGCAAGTCACCCATCGCAAGAACCTTAAGTATCTTAGTATTTGCAATGCGTTGTTCCTCTGTGATTCTGATGGTGTCAGTTATAACCTGTTGTCTGAAATTGTTCCTGGCTATGTTAAAACACGTCTGGCTTTTGGACTTGATTTTAAGCTTCCGGTGTGGAACTTTGATTTCTTTTGTCATCACCTCACGTTTGAAAAAAACTTGTCTGCTCTGTCTGACCTTCCTCTTTATAATGGTGTGGACTTTTTAAGGCGTTAAACCTAGCCTTGTCTCCATTTGTCAATTATTTTGTTCAAGCCTTTAATGCTTCAAAAGTTTTTTACTGCAATCCTTTCTCGTCGTGGCCTTCCTCCTCCGAGACAGTTTGCGTTTGACCACAGCATTGTAATTTCCAAACCAGTCAAGGGTAAAGGTGTAATAATTCTGGGCCGTTCTGTTTACGAGGAGCAGCTGGCAGTGATCTTGACAGACATTGCAAAGTTCACTGAAGTTGTTGATCCCATGTTAAAAGGTATACGTCCAGCAGACGATGAAATCAATAGGCTTTTGTCCGAATGGAACTCCCTGTTATTGCTAACGAATGGAGCGTGCAAACACCTGTTTTGTATTTGGAAGTGCGCCAGGTTTTCTGTATGGTAGCCGAAGATCCACAAACCCGGGTCTCTCTACGACCTATTTTCTCCGTTAGTGGTACTCCGGCTTATAAGTTTGCCATATTTATGGCTCTTGTGATTAACTCTCTCACAAAAATTAGTGCGTAGTAAAGAATCGGTTCGATTTTACGAATGAACTAGCAGGCGTAGAATTAGATGGTGACATATTTATGGCTAGTGTCGAAAGGCTTACTCCAGTGAGTAATATTTCTTTACAAGAAACCATCGACATTTATGTCAGACACTTGTCTTCGACAACTACTGATGTGATAGCAAGAACCATTGAATGCTTCGGGCCTTTCCTTTTTTGTTTTCTGTTTTTCTTATCCTTTTTTTTAATTCGTCAGTTTTCTGTGACGAATTAGTTTTTAATTTTCAATGGGGGTATTATGGACAAGAAGAGGGTATGAGTATGGCCCTTTCTTTGGGTTCAGCCTATGCCAATATTTGTACGTGCCATTGTGAAAATGCTGACTTCGATCCTGTCAGACCGAAGTCTCTCCTTTCCTTTAAAGCTGTTATTTTGACGGCTGCTTCCTTCTTTTTAAGAGTAGATCTCGCGCTGTTTTATTTGTTCCTTGATTTCTGTAATGGTAAGCATTCAGGCGCTGGATTCACGATGGAAAAAGCTTCAGACGGAAACATCCCTTTCTGGATGTCTTCTCCACAAGGAAGGCGGTCGTTCATGCACTTCAGTGCACCGAAAACCTACTTGCACTGGGCTGGGCACGATTTTTTCTCGGTTTCATTCCAGATCCATTCAAGCAAAGTTCCGTATTATATGCGGTCATACTCAGAGCATCCATCTCAGCTCTACCTATCAATTCTTCCATGCTGAAATCGAGCATTTAAGGAGGTAATTTCGGAACAACGGTTTCCCCTTGAGTAGCATTCATTTGTTGAGTCGTAGGTTCCTCGATTCTAGGCATCTTTCCCTGCATAGGCCCATTGCCGTTTCGAAACTCAAACAGCGTTTTATTCTTCCGTAGTTCGGCCCAGGTTCTGAATGCCTCAAACGTGAGTTGATCAGCTTACTACCAGAATTCTACCCAGTTTAAGATCCTGGGATTGTTCTGGTGAATCCCTTCCCAGTATGTTACTTCTTCAAACATGAAGATAGCTGACCTAAATGCTACCAATCGGCTGACGTATGGGAGCTTTGGTGTTCTCGTGTGAGGCATCCTACATAGCTTCCACCCTTCAGAACTTCCATAGTCGCATTCAGCAGCATTTGGGCAAATCTATCCGGACGGGAAGGTTTCCCCACAAAACTAACCCTGCCCCCACACGAGTGCATTTATTTACATGTGAACCCTCAGCTTGGGCCTCCATTTTTAGTTTCTTAGGCCAAACATATTCTTTGCTTAATTTGGCAGTCTCAGGGTTGTTATACACCTTTAAGAAACGCCTGGCGCTAAATAACGTAACTTGTTCCTATGCCCTAGAAATCATGCCGACATAACATGTGCTTAGATAATCGCAGCCGTTTGCGTGCTATTGCACGTGCATGCGTGATATTTCCAGTTTGTGTGTGTTTTAAACCAAAATGGTTTACAATGCACGTATGTTTTCTTTCACCGATGATGCACCCGTTGTACGGCGTTAACACGTCACAAGCAATATGAGGCGCATAAAGTCATCGGCACATGTTGATATCCGTCACTTCCTAGTGAGGAAGGTATATGTATATATATATATATATATATATATATATATATATACATATATATAATATGTGTATGTTAGACACATACTAAATTACATGTCGATGTGATTAAAATTAATAGGGAAATTCATCTGTGTAAAGAATGTGTGATTGCGTAGCGTAGTTTCGTGAATAATGCTTCAGAAAGCTACGACAAAAGCTTAAACGGTTCAAAGGAAAGCTAAAGTAACAGTTTGGCTCTACAGATGCGTTATTGGTTAGGCTAAGATTGCATTTAGCTATGCCTGCTTTTTATGGTTGCAGTTTCATGTAACATTACAGTTGGTGGCAGTAATAGTTGGGTGACTGGTTGACTGACCGTAGCTGCAGCCTTCAGCGTGTCGCCAAACTCGATGTTTGCGGACATTGGGCGGGGGGTGACCACTAACTGAAGGCTGGTACGGTGCATTGTTCGTTGGGGCATACGCGCCGATTTCGGACGCAAAGGCCTGCAACACTGCACAACGCCAAGATGCTCATCTGGGTCATCTTGCTACACTAGCTCCCAATCAGATTTATTGTTTCCAAGTTACTTATTTAGGGCGAATCTCGCGTGACAGAGCCACATTGTCTAGCTTCCTACGCACCATTGTGTTTTTCTAGGCTTTTGAAGACCGGTGTATATGCCATCGATGTTCACTGACATGGCGCAGACCTTTCACGAATTATCTAGGCTATTTATTTGTTATTAAATTGATTTGTTTTTAGTAAGGCACCGGAAGCGCTTGTACTGAATTCACGTATGTTCAATCCCGGTCGATATTTGAAGGCCAATACACAATCTAAGTTGCACTGCTGCATCGGGTCCTGGTTAATATGCTTAATGATTTCATCCTGCCCACTATTTCAAGTTTATTGATGTTGACCGTTAAAGACGTTCGTGACAAGAGCTCATTTTAAGGTACTAAACCTCTTGTTCATCCCAAGAGAGATTAACACGTTTCAATCGGATTGCAACAGGAGGGCATATGGTTGACCATTGGAAAGGGTGGACATCTCATGACTACAACATATCACAATGTCCCACATCATTATAGCCTGAAACAGTTCGTTTGCATGTCGGACTTCTAAATATTCATTCGCCTCCTTTCCTTTCTCGTTATGGAAAGATGCATGCAATCGCTTATCTACTATAGTGCATATACTTCTACTGGCGGTCAGCGAAGCCGTGGCTGCGAGAGAGACCCACAGATCCTGGCGATGAAGACGCGGTGGCGTGCTCTGCTGTTGTGTTTGGTTTACGAGCACGGCAGCTCAGAACTGCCGTGCAGTGCGGTCGGCGGATCAGAACTGCCGTGCACTGCGCTCGGCGGATGTGAGCGGCTTCCAAGCGAAAAAAGTTAACTTCTACGTGTTCCGGAAGTCTGGTCTCCTCGTCCCGGTTGTGAACGTGCGAAGTGTACTGCGCCACTGTATCGGTCGGCGCTCGTATTTTGTTGATCGTTTTCCGTGATGTCCGTGCTCCCCCAAACAACGACGGTAAACGGCAACAGCGTGAAGACACATGCGATGATCGCACTAAAGGTGAGTTGTGTATATCGTCGTGAAGGTATTGCAGGAAGACAATGACCTTGTTATGTCGGAATCGTCCATCATCAGTGCAACATTGCATCTCTGTGCTACAAATTTCCACCATAACCCCCCACCATAACCTAAAAAGTGAAATACACATACCAAAGATGTCGTACTTCAAACCACAGGCGACCGTAATTGATGGGCCATGCCGAATCTGTTGAAACTGGGGCTTTAGTTGCGTCTGTCAGTGCCGTAACAAACTCTTTCCAGGCACACTTAGCAATGCTATCAAACGTCTGCAGCTCGTAACTCATATCTCGTTCTTTCCAGATACGATGGATTCAAGCGCTTCGTGCTTGGGTAGAAAATTGGCCACTGCGTTACTTGTGTCTTCAGGTGAGTACACAGAGTTTCCTGCATTTTGTCCCTAACCAGCAACCTGTATATGTTCAGTTCATCGGGGCTTGGTGGGTCCATCAAAGAAACTATTTGCTTCCTTTTAAGAATATTTCGCGGTTTGCATATGACCAGTCATACCAGCAGTAAAAACAGTCAGTGATACCAACAGTCAAACAATATTATACTCATCACGTCTGACGCCTGGTATGATCGCCGCGCCTACCAAGTCTGAATACATGTCACCAGTATGCAATGATCTTGTGCCGGATTTCTCTGTTAAATCTATCTCCATCACGTACGTGTCCACACAGCAAATAATTCACCACTAAAGTGGTTCGAATCGTGGCAAGGTTGTCCAACAGGCGCACTTAGCGCCACCAAAGGCACTCCACACAACCCCACCTGAGCACAGATGGTAGCTAGCGTTCCTTTTTCTTGGGGATTGGGCCTATCAAAAATTGCGATTCCAGAAAACAATTTTGAACCCTTCAATGCAGAATGCCTAACATTATGCACTTTTGTGATTCCATCCTGGGCTCAACGCACCGAAGGCCTATGACTTCCATACTTCTATCTTATACCAGCGCCACTACTTCGTGTCACCTTTCCATATGACCCATGCCAGATTCAAAACTGCATGCAAATTCCAATATTACGAGGGTGTCAGTCGAAAAGAAACTTACCGCGTGATTCAGGACAACATGTCACAATTTTCTGCCCGAATGTTCCAAAGCACAGCTAAAGTTTTGATTAGAAGGTATCAACACTTACTATAAGTACACTAGAATCGGGATTGATACCATATTAAGTATGTTATACCAAAAGTTGGCACTGCTGTGCTAGCGGCATCTTTGGTTTGCTTGTGGCGATTAAGCGTACTCACGTTTCTTAATCGTAAAGCGCTTGAAGTTGTTGTGGATGGTTGTTGGAGGATCATATTGTGTTCAAGTAATTTCAGTAAATATATTTTCAACTTCTAGAGAGGCTAGTAGACCCTTAGTTTGACGATATCGCACTAGACCAATAAACTCATCCGTTGACGATAGGCTGTAAGACATGAGAAGATATGGGGACAGAAGACCATTCAGACGTTTTGCAATTCTATAGCTTGGTGAAGGGACCTGTGGAGTTTTTGAACGAAGGAAGACGCCGATTTTTGTGAGTTTTTACAGACACATCAGCCTAGCCAGGCGCAAATTTACTTCTTACCTTGGAAAAGTGTATGCCATTAATAGTGGCAGCAGTGATTAGTTTTCTAAGCTTATTCTTGAGTGTGTTTGTAGTATTTTTGTGATGCGCCGGAACTCCTTCTCGTCGCTTAAGATACAGTGTAGTTTTTCATCATATTCGTTTTTGTCAAGTTTTACCTAAACTGATTATTTGAAATTTGAGGAAGCATATTCATTAACAGACAAGCAAATTTTTGCGCAGCTCTTACACTATTAGGTGGTGGGCGGTGAGCACAATTCATGTGATAAACGACGACGAATATAGAGTAATGTTGTGTGAACCACCTTTAATCTAAGCGATGATGCCAAGCCAAGACCCCGGGAACTAGAACCATGCGTCAAAACGCTCGTCAATACCGAGTGAGCAGTTATTTTTAATCAAACATGCATATATATAATATCAGAATATCGTTGCACCCAATAGTTCTATCCCCAGTCAGTGACTGTATTCACTCCGGGTTCCACCCAACTGCTGGTTGTCCAACTTACAACTGCTGAAAAGAGTTGGCGGCAGCGGGATTCGATCCCACGCCTGGACATCGCAGCGCGTGCATGGGTCTACGCTTTACCTGATATCTCGAAGAGGAGGGCCACGGCGGGCACTTTTGGTCCCGGATATTGAAAGAAAGTTGTTCAAGCTTCAGTTTTTTGCAGTTCTTTCGCATAGATATACATATACATACATACATACATACATACATATATATATATATATATATATATATATATATATATATATATATATATATATATATATATATATGTTTAAGATTTAGAAAGCCGTGAGCCTGAAGACGAGGATTTTAACATGGGAACCCAACGGCTATTCGTGAAATGTGTTCCGTTGCTGCCATATTTTATACTAGATTTTGGAGCCGCGCAGACGACCGTCTCGCACATAGCGTCCTGCCCCCCCCCCCCCCTCATGTCAGCGGGCAAGGTAAAAGCAAATTCGTCAATGTCACAGCGGCAAAAATAGAGCTCTGCATCGCGGTAAGTAATCTAATTCCTGTTAGTACATGTTTACGCTTATTATATTAGTGCCTCAGGACGCTTATTTTACTTTTGTACCATGTCTTTAGCTAGAATCTAATAGCGAGCCAAATGTTGGAATGATTCCATTTTTACACATACTACACGATATGTTAGATGAGGCAAAATGTGCAGGAAGTTTGTTGATCAATGTGCCAAACAAATCTACATGTCGCAAAAAATCCTCCGTCGTTTGTTGCTAGTGATTGTCAGTCGTGAACACTGCCGTGCTCAATACTTCTGTCACAAAGGTCGCCAGTTTTTGCACGCCCATCGGACTCGTGCTCTTCGTATATGGGCACTCTATTAGTCGCGAATGCTGGTCACTTTGCGACGCCAGGTGTTGCCAGTGCAGCCGGATACGCACGTCCGGCCCATTGCGTCGTAATTGGAGCCCGGTGTGTTGTGACTTGGCCCCGGTGAGGCCTGACACGACCCTGGTGAGACCTGACACGACCTGATGAGGCCTGACACGACCCCGGCGAAGCCTGACACAATCCTGGTGAAACCTGACACGGCCCGGGTGAGCCTGACATGGTCCGGCTGGGGCCTGACACGACCCCGGTGAGGCCTGACACGGTCCCGGTGAGGCCTGGCACGACCCCGGTGAGGGCTGACTCAATACCGTCGGGACCTGACACGGTCGCGGCGCGTTTCCGTCGCGTCGCAATGCACCCATTGGCCGTGGACGCGCCCTGCGTGACGGCCGCTGTTTGTTCCGAGTCGTCTCACTGTAAGGCTGGCGGCAGCCGCAGAGTTGGATTGACACCCCTGCCCGGACTGCAGCCGCCGGCACCGAAGGATGGCTGCTCGCGCCGGTGCCGGTAATTCGGAGGCAGACATCGCTGCCGGCGTAATCGATGTGCCTGATGGCCGCCCCGGCGACCCTCGCACACAAGCCATGCCAGATCGGGGGATGCCACTAGCCTCGAGCGCCACGTGCGTATACCACCCAACTGTGTCCATAAGTTGCCCCACTTTGGAATACAGCAAGAGTGCTGTGCTTGGAGTTTCAAACTGTCGGCGGGTAATGTACTGAACAGAGCGGCATAGTGTAACTGAATAACCTCGGCTGAGTAATGGCACGCCTCAACTTCTGAAAGCGCGGCCTGGATCTGGCGAAGACACTTGCTGGCCTGCAGATAATGACACTGAACCCAGGACTTCGTCACATATCATTTGCGGTCGGCCAGGCCGCCAGCGACCGTTCTCCAGGATTCCGGCTGTCCAGTCGCAGTTTAACTAGTCGGCAGCATGTGTGCCGCGCCAGCATCTGGCCAAAAATAGTGCTCTCCTTCAGGGGGCTCTCTTCTCTAACGACGGCTCCGATGAGATTTCCTCCACTTTTCATCGGAGCGGGCCGATTTAACGACCTGTAGCAGCCTGATAGGATCGGTCCGATGATCCGCGCTCGTGACGAGCCGTTTTTCCGGCGCCGCCAGACCCGACGGCGATTTCGGCCTCGTTACGCGGCCGACCCATCGCCGGGCGGCGGCGTAGTCACGGGTCACGGCGGTGTGACGACATTAGTGCTACGGCATAAACTGCTATTGACGGGAGTGTTATGACCTCAATCATACGCAGCATTACTTTTACTGGAAAAACTTACACAGACTTGACTTACACGCGACATTACTTTAAGTGGAAAACTTAAACTGACGTGACTTATACACATTAATTTCACTGCAAGGTCTTACATACGACATTAGTGCTGTGCGACAAAATGCATGCTTAAAAACACTTCGCTTCATCATGTCATTTCATCTACTGCAAAAGCTTATGGTTTTTTACTGATGTACGACATTGCGCGTACTGCAAAACTCAAACACGACATGGGTGCTACACCACAAAACTTATACGCAAAAACATAAAACGGTGATTCTTTCTACAGCAAAGACTAAATCTTTGCTGCAACAATTATGTTGCATATTAGTCTTTGCATTAGAAAAAATGCCGTGTTACACCATGACTGCATAAGTTTTTGCAGAAGGGGTAATGGCGGATATAAGTTTTTGGAGCATACATTTTGTCATGTAGCCCGAATGTCACCTATGCATGTTTGCGGTAGAAGTAAAGCCGTGTATAATTAATGGTAGGTTATGTTTTTGTAGCAGAAGTAATGAAGAGCATGCATTTTTAAGCACAATTCTTGTCGTGTAACACTAATGTCGCGTATAGTGTTTGCAGTAGAAGTAATGTTTAGTAGTGATGTAGTAATGTTTTTGTAGCAGAAGTAATGAAGAGGATACATTTTTAAGCACACTCGTTGTCGTGTAACACTAATGTCGCGTATAGTGTTTGCAGTAGAAGTAATGCAGTGTATAAGTTTTTACAACGTAAGTTATGAGTAATATAAGCTTTTGTAGCATAAGTTATGTCGCGTAGTAGAACAGAAATAAGGTCGTAGCGCTCCTGTCGGCAGGACCTTTGTTGTAGCACTGACGCCATGGAACCGGTCACAACCGAGGTGGCCGCGTCCAGCGGCCGCAGCCGCGGTAGCCTCCGGTCGCGGCAACCGTGCCACGCTGGTCAGTGACCATGTGGTCTAGAGCAGTTAGGGGCTGCTGAACGGAACAGAACAGAACAAAACAGAACAAAACCGCCGCTTTTCTTTACAGGGTGCATTGGGCGGACAAAAAAACACAACAGACAACACCATGTCCATGGTAACGACACACATGGCTGTGACGACGGTCTCAAAAAATCGAGACAGGCAGGCAGACAGATGTATAGGTA